GGGCAGAAATGGTATTCCATGGCCCCCCAGCCGCCCCCCTCCCAGCTATTCTTTTTCCCTGGCCCTCCTCCCGCTAAAAAAAAAAAAAACTTTCCTTGGCCCTCCCCCTTTCTGAAACATTTACAAATGCCCCCAAAACACTAGCAGGGAGCGGATCTTGGGGAGCGGACGAAAGCTAACTCGGGCTACCAAAAGTCAGAGGCGGCGGCAGGAAATCCTGACTTGGGGGGGGGGAGGCAGGGCAGATTTGTATGAAACAATTTTCCCCTGTCGAGCGCTGAAGGCGCGAGCCGCCGCTCGTCGAACCTAGTAGGGGGCATGGTCCCCCGAAAAACTTAGGAAAAAAACAATAGAGTTTGAAACGCGTTTTCCTGCATTTTCTGGGGAAGATTTTGCTGCTACACGAAGCTAAATTTTTGAGTACTTTGTAGCTAAGTTTCTTTCTCGCTATTCGAGTGCATGGCACCCACAAACTTCTTCCACGTGCTATTTTTACATTTGGGATTGTGCATGTGGGATCTATCCTTCTTTCTTTGTTTCTTTGGTAGTTTGGTAACACTGCAGGCCATGCAATACCTGTTTACTTCTTTCCGGTTTGTGGTGTATGCAATAGACTTGCTGCCATTTTAGTTAATAGCAATCCATGTTCTTTACAAAAAAAATTATGTAGTAACAGTCTCATCTAGTGACATACCATTGATCGAAGTATGGTTACATAAGTTTTTAGGCGCTAATTTGTTGATCGTACTACAAATCTAAAGATAATTGCATAAATTATGTTGATGACAAAAAATAGTGCTGAAAAAAAATCATGGAAAAAAAAGACTAATGTTAAGGACCTCGGAAGCGAGACTAAATCTGTACCGTATATGGTGGATTAATAGGTCGGCTTCCGGATTACACGGAGGGAACGATTACATTTTACCAGTCGCACCAAGGTCCTGTCCTCCGCGGTGAGACGACCAGACAACCGTATAACACCAACGGGAGAGGGCGTCAGGCCATTTGCCGGGTCATTCTATTCTATCCCTATTCATAATGGCCGGCAATTTGCAGATTAGTTTCTTCTATTTCTATAATAAATTGTATCTTATTTTTCTATATGTTACATAACCCCAGTTAGTGGTCAATACGTTTCATACTTACTCTTTTTTAAAGACGGGGCTTTCATGCTCCTTCGTTTGTCCTGCTCAAACCGCTATGTATACTTGCATAGGCAGTTCAAGAATTACGCAATCCGATAGCTCAATTGGCAGCGATGCTGAGTGGCAGTGGCGGCCGGGGTCTCCGCATAGCGGGTTCGATCCTCGGTGTGGAACTTTTTTAAATTTTCTTTTTAACAGTCGATGTTTTGCTTTTAACACTCAAAAACTAATTTACTTTTTAACATCAGCTGTTTTTCTTTTTAACATTAGTTTGTACCATATCAAAAAGCTTTGGTTGAACATAACAATTGTCAAAGGCAGCATTAAAGAAGAGATTATAATCCTCATTGACTAAATACACAACAGTACTCAAAATGAATGATAGCGTGGATGGAGAACATAAACCATGGTGAAGTATGAGCAAAAACACCAACAAAGAAACAACAAAACTAATGGTCATTCGTAGCAACTTTTAACCCAGGAAATAACGTGTTTACCACAGCAACAACTTTATTTACTTAACAGCCATAATGAAATCTATTCCTTCCTTCTTTCAACTAAGCTTAATTTGATGAAGCATTTGTTTTTTGTGCAGCATGTGCTATCATCAAAATCGTCACAGTGCTGCGGGTTTCAAAATCGCTTTTTTTCATCTACATGTATATATGAAGAGTTACATACATATATAGTGATCAGCTTTTTTTCAAAGCACTTGTTTAAAATATCTCAATACACAAGGGGGATCGGGGCATGCTCCCTCTGGAAACGCCATTTCCTGTATTTTGGGAACGCATTTTGCTGGTCCACAATCCTAAGTTTAATATCGCCAATCGACTACATCTATCTTCCTGGAACACACAGTCCTTGGTTTAATTAGAATTACCTTGTATGGTTTTATCTAATCGGCGCGGGAAAATTCAAGCGGCCCTCTGCGGGACCAGCGGGTCGGGAATATTATGCATACACGACTTTAGGCCACACCGTCTTTACGGATGACATCCTCTGGAGACCCTCAAACTAGTGCGCGCGGGCGAATAAAAAATTCCGGCCAAAAATAAAAATGCTACTAAACCAAAGTAACACAAACCTAACGTACAATGTAGCGACGTACACGACAAGCCGGCACATGCTGGCTTTTTGCGGAATTTATGAATCGGCACTGTACGTATGTACTGAGTTCTTGAGTCGTGGTGCGGCGGCCGCCTGGGTGCCATCCTCCAGAGTTACAACAAAAACGGAGGTATTGTTTTTGGCGTGTCTGTATGTGTGTGAGTCTGTCTGTCTGTGTGTGTGTGTGTTTCCGCAACTTTGTGGTCAGCATAACTCCATAACGCCTTAATGGATTGTGATGATATTTGGTATGCTTGTAAGTCTTAGGAAGATAAAGGTCAAGGTCAAATATGGGCCTCCTGGTGGATGATCTTGGTACTGCAGCAGAACTTCCGGTTTTTGTATCTTTTGTCCTGAACATGCTATGGTCTTGACTTTTTGGTGACAGATACCGTTTTCTGTCAGGAATAGGTGGTGTGAGTTTGGTCCTCCTGGCAGCTTGTTCTGGAACTGCAGGGGACTTCCAGACGAAATCTTTAAAAGCCAATAAGTCCAGATAGGAACAACGTATTTTCATCATTTTTGGTGTGTAGGTAGCTGAGAGAGAGAGAGTTGTGCATAATTGAATGCAAATTATGCAAACAAGGACTTAACTTAAGCTTGCATAATTAAGGAGGAAATTCTATAATTACTGTGTTTTATATCATAGTACTTTTATACATATAATCTATTTATTAATAATCTGTGTCAGGTGGAACATCGATACCAATTATGCAAATGACCTAATTTGCATAATTAATGTGAAAAATCTTTGACTCTTTATTGGTGAATGAAGTTACCGTTGAGAATACGATTGTCAACTTCGGAAATGGGCCTCGTGGGAGGTTCCCATGTCATTTAATTTGATCTTTTGTGTTGTTCGCTATCGTTGGTAGCAGGATAATTCGAGAATCTGCAAATGGATGTTCACGATCTTTTTGTGAGCAAGTTACCGTCGACGATAGCAAGATCAAGCTCGGAAATGGGCATCGTTTGAGGTCCGTAAGTCACTCTAGTGGCCCGTTAGTGATTGTTGTTTACTTTGTCAGTAGTTCAAGTTGTGAAAAAGCAATGTTCTTGTTGTTTTTTATTGTGATTAGGTTAAGGGGTTTAGATTGAGGGTTTCAAGTTTAGAGTCTCTTGTAGTTTGTGGCTTAGTGCAATGGGACATTTTGTGTGAACAGGCAAGCGAAGTTTAACCCTCAAACACCCGAACTTTTTTTGTAACGGTAATGACCGAACGGGGTCCAAATGGACCCCATTTTGTTTCTTTCAAATTTTATTATATTTCAGTCCATACCATGGTATGGATGAAATATATTGTGTTGTCTGATGTTTCTTCTCCTTCTTCTTCTCCTCCTCCTCCTCCTCCTGCCACACAGTCAGAGGGATTCAACTCCGCCATCATTCAGCCAAATGACTTGAAATTTGGCATGGAGGTAGAGTGGGCCAATACCCCCAGGCGTTTTTTTTTCATTTTTTTGATACATGCCTTTAAAAAATTTTTATGAAGGTTTTTTGGGGCATTTTTCGCCAAAAAATTGATTTTTGGATCCTGAGCCCTGGTGTTACAACCAAATGATCTGAAATTCGGTATAAGGGTACCTTGAACATGTGTCTACAGAACAACAGTCACATATTTGGCATACACCACTTCCAAATGACTCATTTGGGGGACTTTAATGGCTATTTTCAGCAAAAAAAGGGCCAAAAGTGCTATACCCGTTCCATGTTCTATCTAAAGAATGGCACGTTCTATCTGCCGTTGGCCATGGAACAGGTGTTCCATTGCGGGTTACCTGAGGTCACATTGCACGTAAGTCGTGCGTAATGACCCACACATTCAATTTTATGTGCCTAAGACCTTCAAAATGTATCAAATCTCATCATTGTTAGTATTTGCATACCTGTAAGAAGATTAGTAAAGCTTTCGAGATTCAATGTGCTTGTTGTTGCATCTTTGTTCTCAATTACATGGCTACTATATAATTCATTTATTTGAGAATCTTTGCCAGTTTTACACTGGGGTAAGTTTGGAATAGTCCACTTTTGCGTGGGAGGGAGATGGACTGAAATATGCTGTATTTGCTCCCAAGCAAATGTCGGCCTCTCTAGTTCCTTTTTGCATTCTTTCAGTGATCTTTGTACATATATTGCTTAATCATAGTAAGAGGTATATTTTGGCATGATTAAGTGTAAAATATTTCAGCTCATTATCATAACTCATGCAAAAATAGGATAAGGACTGCAGGCATGAACAGGTTGACCTTTGACCTCATGCGATTGTCAAATATCATAACCTCTGAAAACCTGATGAAATAACTCCTCTGAAAACCTAATGAAATAACTCCTGAGGTCGATGTTACTTGGCAAACTGCATAATATTAAAGCAATAATGCTTCCTTAAAAACATTTTGAGGACATATACAAACAATTTTGTGTGTAGGAAAGGGGAAATATGGCCGTTTGGACCCCAGACGGTCTTACATCAGACTTCCCGTTCTTATTTTAACAAATTTGTGCCGATTTCCAAGAAACATTTAGGAGAACTTGAAGAAGAGGTTTATTGACAAAGTAACGGGAGGAATTTTTTTTTTAATAAAAAATGTTCAAACAGCACATAAAAATATACGCCTGGGGTCCAAATGGACCCCATTCGGGTGTTTGAGGGTTAAAAGTTTGTTCTGGTTAATTACTGGTAACTTACAGCGAGGGAGCTGTCAACAGTGGCTAAATATAGTTGGAAAACTTCCCCCCCCCCCGATGGGTTGTTTGTACAGCGAGGGAGCTGTCAACTGTGGCTTTACATTAATTATGGTTAGAGCATGTAGTTTACTGAGTAACCATGTACACCTGAAGGCATTGGACGCTAGGATATTGGGATTTTCGTATACACAACCAGAGATTCGTCCTACCTCGCTTCCGTTGTCTATTATACATCTTCCTCAGAACTTCTGACTGCTTTTCAACGTTATATGTAGCCGATGTAGGTGGCGCTTTTGCGGCGAAAACACAAGCTCAAACGTGGTCCATACAGTGTATAAACTGATATGTATAGACCCGGTAACCCTGTATAAAACATAGCCTCCCTTCACACTTACATAGTGGTGTGACGTTACCTGCACCTGATGATGTTATTTCTTATTCCTCAGTATGTGGAGGTGACCTGACGGCTCCTTCTGGAGGCCCTGTGACGTCACCCAACTATCCCGGTAACTATGGCGACAATGAAAACTGCGAGTGGACGATCACTGTACCAGAGGGAAGCATCATTCGCCTCACGTTTGACAGCTTCAACACTGAGGACCGTTATGACAAACTCACCATCTACGATGGAGCCAGTGATAATGCTGCAGTGATAGAAAGGTAATCATTATTATTCATTAGTTTCAGACACCCACCCGCCATAATTAGACATGCACTAGAGGAAAACCTAAATACATACAAAACATACACATAAAAGTGAAATCTTATTTAAACAGACGCTGCGGAGGTTTGTGAAGTATAAGTTGCGATAGAAGGAAACCGACTTTTAAAACGTACAGACTGAACACTATTGTTAGAATGAATGAATGAACTTTATTGCTCGACAGTTGTACAATAGACTAATTGTATTGCTCACATTGTTATTGTTGCCACCATTGTACAGTGAGAAATACAATAAGTCTATTCTAAGAAACTACTACAGAAAAACATTTGAACTTAAAAGTCGCATTGACAAGATGTGCGTTACGGCGTTTTACAGTACTTTCTCTATTTTGCAAGGCACCATATATATATATGGGGTCGGGGGTATGACTTCAGTACATTAAAAATATCCGTGTTTGTCTTTGGGAAAGGTTTACTAGCTTTCCAGGCGTTTCGTTCTTTTTGGTTATCTGTAGTATAGGGAAACAAGTCATTAAAAAATATTCATCTTCAACAGTTTCTTGACATGAGGGACATTGTCTCCGGTAACTGGTATATCATTATAGCCACCGTTTTCTTTGTCCACCTTGTGCGAACTGATTCTTGATTTGGTAATGTTAACTATAAAGGCCTTGTGCCATCTGACAACAAAGGTATCAGTCAGGTTAAAAACAAACATCTCACTGGAACTACAACTTCTAAGCAGATCGGAAAAACATAAACGACCCGTGATAAGGACTTAAGTTACACATTTTATGTTCCTTGAATCAAATCTACACGAAAAAATAATGATGACCAATCAACACGGGATATTCAAGCCACTCTAAACGCTCTGTATAACAAACAACATCCCCAAAGCTTGGAATATTACAATAGTTTGTGCGTCAAATACTAATTGTCCTTATTTTTATAATGCCTAGGTTATCCGGTGAGCAATGGAACATTATGAATATCATCAGCTCATCTAACACGATGTTCCTGAGGTTTACATCTGATGGGAGTGACAGCTATCAGGGGTTCCAGTTCTCCTACACAAGTAAGATCTTTGGCTACACTTCTCAAATTAACAAGGCCAATGATATCATTTTGTATGCTGGTTAATATGAACTGTGTTTGTGGCAATTTTCGGTATATGATTAGTTTCTGGGGTCCAGAAGATGCAAAAAAATTGCAATTACTATTTTGTAAATGACGCTTAATTGGCATGGTTAATAAGGAAATTTGAAAATCACATTGGTATACACTATAGGACTTTTAGTCTGTAATATATGTAATGTATGGGAATTGGAACATAAATAGATAAAAATAATGAAAATGTACGCAAAATTGTAGATCTATAATAAATGACAAAGGAAGGAAATCCAAACCTTTGCATTGTTTTGTTCCAGGCAGAACTGCAGGTCAATGCTGGGATCCCGCTGTTCCGGCCAATGGGAACAGGGATAACAACAGTAACTTTACATCAGGACAGACAGTCAGGTACACCTGTATGGACGGGTATCAGCTGTGGGGGACTGCTAATATAACCTGCCAGCCGAACGGGACTTGGAGTGGTGCTACACCAACTTGTAGAGGTAATAAATAAAGAATAAAACTATTGACGTTAGGGTTAGAACTTCTGGTTTACGGTATACATATGGCATACACCGGTAACATTGATCATTATGTTCAAAGTGGCCTTTTTTATGACTTAACCCCTAGAAGTTTTAGTGGTACGGTATCCACAGGATGACCAAAATAGCCCGGTCTGAATAAAGTTAACCCAATTCAAATCGTTACGGGAAAGGTCACCCAATGATTAGAGGTGCTTTTAAGGCCGGCCCTCTTTAACTCCTAAACTACTTATAATCATCGCATCATCAATATTCAGATGATCGATATCGTCTAATAGTAAAAATACAGTCGTAACCGTCTTATGTAATTGTACAACGTACAATGGGACCGCATTTTAGATGCCATGTTAGGCCACACTTCCTTAATTCTATGGATGACATCCGCGCGCGCATTGATTTTCGCTTGTTCTCAGAAAAAAAGAGCACGTCCACCGAGGCTTTGGCCTGGCTCTAGGCCTGAGTAGTCCATAGTAGTTAGCGACAATACGGAGCCAGGCACCCAGGCTACCGGAGCTCCACGACTCAAGAACTCAGTATATACGTACAGTGCCGATTCATAAATTCCGCAAAAAGCCAGCATGTGCCGGCTTGTCGTATACGCTGCTATGTGCTGCCGCGAATTCACAATACCAGCCTGTATTCCCGTGGTTTAGTAGCATTTTTATTATTGACCGGAATTTTTATTTTATTTGCCCGCGCGCACTAGTTTGGGGGTCTTCATAGAATGTCATCCATAAAATTAAGTCGGTGTGACCTTACTGTGTAGACATAAGTAGAATACTTTGCGTTTCTATAAGCAATGGCACCTGTGTTATGCAGTGTGAACCAGTCAGAACATGGGCGATAGGCGACCAAGTGTCGTTGAAATCTCTGAACTTGGTCTAGGTAAGCACGCTGTTTTTGTTTGAAAGGAACCTAGTCCGCGCGGTACGCATCGTACTTTATTACTTCTGGTCATGGCAAGGCTAGATCGGGCAAAGGCCGCCGGAACAATCCATCGTTCTTCACAGTTAGTTCGATCGCATTCGCGGACCCGCTAATCGAATAAGTAGAACCGTCGCCAGAGAGCTAACTATGAACTTCCCCCTGAACTTCCGAAAACTTGTCTTCACTTAATAATTGCATATCAATCGTAGTTTGTGCTTATAAACCTGCATTTTTCCTTCTGTCTGTCAGTCACTGACGAAAGCTAGGGGATACTAGCTGAAATGTCTGACCGTTTCCAAAATCATATCAAGTTGCTTGAGTAACTTAATGAAGGCTAAATTTGCATGATTAAGTAGGAAATTCTGTAATTACTGTGTTTTACAGCATAATACTTTCGTATATGGGATGTATGTAATCTTTGGCAGGTGAAGCAGCAACAGATACCAATTATGCAAATATTGACCTAATTTGCATAATCAATGTGAAAAGTTTTTGCGATTTTTTAATGGTGAATGATGGGAATTTATACCTTTTGACATGTGCAAGTTACTTAAAGGTTAACATCACTATGAATGTATTGTGTTAATGTAGGGGTAATTTGCATAATTAATGAGGACATGTTGAAATAACATTCCTATTCCTGCCAAAGAACAGGAATTCCTCACGCCAAATATTGTAATTTGAGTTTAGAAAACCAAAGCTAAAACTGTTCATTACGACCTTACTTCCATATACAATGGGACAAATCCATCCAATAACAATTTTTCATAACTCTTCATATTTCATGGAGGTATGAGATCTCCAAATTCTTGTTTTTTTAGAACAGGCGAAAATACAATGCGCGCGTAGTTAATGTGCTATTCTTGTTCCTTGTCAACATGTGTGCCAACAGACCGTGTTTGTAGTAACCAATGATAGGCCCCCTGACATATCCGTCCAGCGTTTTTACCGTCCAGCCATGCATGGCGATGCAGTGTTTGCTTGTACCGACATTGGTGCAAACTTTGGTTTACGACACATGCTGGCATTTTGAGGAATTTATGAATCGGCACTGTACGTATGTACAGAGTTCTTGAGCCGTGGAACTTCGGTAGCCTGGGTGCCTGGCTCCGTATTGTCGCTAAGTACCATGGACTACTCAGGCCTAGAGCCAGGCCAGAGCCTCGGTGGACGTGATCTTTTTTTAGAACAGGCGAAAATCAATGCGCGCGCGGATGTCATCCATAACATGAAGTCAGTGTAGCCTTACACAAGAAAAAATACTGTTGTACTGTTTGTATCAGAAGAGCTGGATTTTTTACATTTCGACGCATGCGCGTTTGAGCGACGCAGGCCATGCTATACTGTGATTCACTTTATGTTCACGGTAGCAAAAGTTCACGGTCTGAGAAAAATTGACATGTTCACGGAACTATATATTCACGGTGGAGACAGGTACTGGAAAAAGAAAATCAAGGATTTTTTGTTAACTGTAATGATGTTTACATCTTTCTGGTTTGTGGTGTATGCAATAGACTTGCTGCCATTTTAATCCATGTTCTTTACAAAAAAAACTTAACGTAGTAACAGTCTCATCTAGTGACGTACCATTGATCGAAGTATGGTTACATAAGTTTTTAGGCGCTAATTTATTGATCGTACTACAAATCTAAAGATAATTGCATAAATTATGTTAATGACAACACTGCAGGCCATGCTATACCTGTTTACGTCTTTCTGGTTTGTGGTGTATGCAATAGACTTGCTGCCATTTTAATCCATGTTCTTTACAAAAAAAAACAAGAATTCCGAGATTTCATACCTCCATGAAATATGGGCTTGATATGTAAATGTAAATGTCCTCTTTAATTATGCAAATTACATCTGCATTAACATGATATATGCATCGTGATGTATGTGAACTTTTGATTAACTTACAGATGTCCCAAGTATGACATTCCCATCATTCACCATTAAGAAATCATAGAATTTTTGCATAAATTATGCAAATTAGGTCATCATTTGCATAATTAGTATCTGTTGATGTTCTGCCTGCCATAGGTTACATACATTACATGCATGAAAGTAGTATAATGTAAAACACTGTAATTATAGAATTTCCTCATTAATTATGCAAATAAAGTCCTCATTTGCATAATTTGCATTTAATCATGTACATCTCTCTCAGCTACCTACACACCAAAAATTATGAAAATTTGTTGTTCTTATCTTGACTTATTGGCTTTTAAACATTTCGCCAGAAAGTGCCCTGCAGTTCCAGAACAAGCTGATAGGGGGACCAAACCCACACCACTTATTCCTGACACGAAAAGTTATCTGTCACCCAAAAGTCAAGACCACAGCATGTTCGAGACAAAAGATACAAAAAACGGAAGTTCTGCTGCAGTACCAAGGTCATCCACCAGGAGGCCCATACTTGACCTTGACCTTTGTCTATTCAAGACTTACCAACATACCAAATATCATGGCAATCCATAAAGGCGTTCTGAAGTTATGCTGACCACAAAGTTGCGGAAACACAGACAGACAGACACACAGACACACACACATACATACATACATACATACAGACAGACACGCCAAAAACAATACCTCCATTTTTCATGGAGGTAACAAAACCACCAGGCCACGCTACATTGCGTGGGGAGACAGAATGAATACACGGGCAGCCTAGAATCATGTACATAACATAAACAGCCAAGGGGGCGAAAATTACGCCCTGAAAACCCTAAAACTCATCCACATAGAGACGTCTAATCACGTTTCAACTGTCTTAGGAGCGCCCCGCGAACTGACTTGTAGTATTGTAGGTTGCCAAAATCGGAGAGGTGCAGTCCGTCCGGGGCGAAATAATTTGGGTTCTTTCGCCAGAGGCGCTTGTGTCGCCACACGGAAACGGCCGGCAAATGTTCAACGGCAGACGAGAGATGCTTGCGGAAATCGGCCAAACGTTCTGGGAAGTTGGGCATGTTGGGCGGATCGGTGTAGCGCCAAATGGGTTCTGCTAGGATGATAGATTTTACAGCTGGGATGCATTGAATAGAGAATGCGAGGTCCGCCAGGTTTTGTGCAATTTGGTGGGGGGAGAGATCAGCATGACACAAGTCGTTGTGACCCAGTTCGATGTACACAATGTCAGAAGGGAAGTCTCTAATGTAGGGGAGTAGCCGAGATCTGTATCGCGGGATTGTGCAACCAGGGATACCGTGGAAGTCAACAGTTACTTCTGACAACCAGAAATCCGGGGCCACCGCTTAGCCTGGGTTCCAGACCCATAGCACACTGGACACAAAGTATCTCAGTGAGCAGGGGTCTGGCCGGGTCAGATAGACCTGTCATTCGAGCCATTCGAACGCTCAGTATTTGAGCGTAAGGCCCCATTGGTAGAACAGCAGGAAGCAATTTTACACCTTGGCTATGATTGGTTAAAACCACCCAGCTGTATCTTTGAATCTTCAACAGTGGCCACCAGCAGATGAGATGAAACTGTAGATTGTGTATTTTGTCCTGATGTGTTAGAGGACAGTGTTACCCCAACAAACAGGAAAGCCAGTTGTACACTACTTCTACTATTTAAAAGAGTTCTGCTGTTATTTTGGAAAATGAACACCAAATACATGTTAAAAATTGACAGGTTAATGATTAACTGTTGAGCTCAAGACTGTCTCCTGCTGACCAATGGTGGTACCATGTAACAGGCTACCTGGGGTGTGAGGGGCCATCAATCACAGCTTCTCCTCCCTGTGCTTGAGAGCTTTTCCTATATCGTCCGGCCAGACCCCTGCTCACTGAGATACTTTGTGTCCAGTGTGCTATGGGCCTGGAACCCAGGCTAGCCACCGCTCGGCCGGACTGTGTAGTAGTGCGGGACCGTATGAAGGATTCTAGTCGGCAAACGAAGGAGTGCCCTGTGATAAAGGCGCTGTCCATGCTGACAAATAAGTATGAGATGACAAACTCACCGCAAGCAAGTACGGAAAAGGGGGGCGAACTCCTGGCCGGAGGCTCTGCACGGCCGCCGCGTTCTGTCGGTACATATAGAATACAACACGGGGTATTCCGCAGGCCGGAGGGCGATCCGACTCGCGGTCGGGCCGGGACCGAGGGCGATGCGGAATACACCGTGTTGTATTTTATTTATATCATACCCACCCAAGAAAACGCGCCTTTCAATGCAAGATGAGCCAAAAGCTGGTGCCCCTAAGCCTTCAATTGCAACAACATCAGTTCCAACGTCCGGATTCTGTATTCGAATTTTCGAAAGGGGCACACGCGGTTAGGGAAAAACGTGTTCGACTCGTTTTATGGAAGCCATGGAAGCGTTCGATAACGGGTTCTGGACCGGGCCGTACCGTAACGTACGGCCCGGTCTGGAACCCGTTATCGAACGTTATCGCGGCCCGGGTATGATATAAGGTCCGGTACGATCCGTCGCAGCAGCACTGTCCGGTGCGATAAGCTCCTCTGAACGGGCCGCAGAAGTTCTCGGTAGTACCAAGGAGGTTCTTAACGGGAAGGGCAGCGACAGTCGGAGGCGTTCTCCAGGCCGTAGAATTTCGTGTAAGTCGGAGAGGGTTTAGTGGAGAGATTTGTAGGGAGGTCTGACGTACACGACCTGTCCGGGCCGCGTGTTAGCTCAGAGTGACACCACGCGGCACGGGAGTGACACCACGCGGTACGGTCTAATTAGAAACAGCCTCTTGTGAAGAGGATCTCAGACAGATCACTCTGTTGCCATGGCAACAGGCGAGACAGGCCACCCTAGTAGATTGGCTTCCTGCTTTCCCAGCAAAAACCTCCTTTTATACATGTAATCCATTCAATCTGTGGCAGGCGGAACATCGATACCAATTATGCAAATGATGACCTAATTTGCATAATTAATGTGAAAATTCTGTGACTCTTTATTGGTGAATGATGGGAGTTTTATACCTTGTGACATGTGTAAGTTACTTAAATGTTAGCACCACTATGCATATATTATGTAAATGTAGTCATTTGCATAATTAATGTGGACATGTTGAAATGAAGTATGACAAAGGAGAGGAATTTTACACGAAAACTAGAAAACGACATTTCCTTTGGGGCAAATACGGGGCACCTGTTTGGCACTCTGATTTATCTGCGAAACTCAGTAACAGAATCGAGAATGTCCAGCGCCGAGCGTTGCGAATCATCTTGAGTGAGGATTTCACCTCTTACCACAAGGCATGCGTACAGTTCAACCTACCAACACTCAAGTCACGCCGTGACAAACTGACAATGAACTTCGCTAGATCACTTGAACGATCTAAGCTGCACAGACACTTATTGCCACCTCCAAGAGTTGAAATCAGTGGTAGGACGACCCGCTCATCCCTTAAACTGGACACTGCCTTCTGTAGAACTAAAAGATACCGAACAAGTGCAATTCCTTACATGATACGGATGCTGAATTTGTAGCTGCTCTTTACTTCGTTGCCCTACTTATAACCTAATCCTGCCATCTATTTGTATGTACGTGTACTCAAATGTTTTAATATTCCCAGAAATTTTATTCAAATGTACATACTAGAATCTACTCGTTGCGCCACACTTAATCATTTTATCCCGATATGCTTTTAACTTTAATGTTCAATGTTTTAACCAACCACTTGTTATCAATTGTTTTTATTCAATGCGCTACCTACATACCTCGATCTTAAATATTATACGTTAGACTGTTTATTTGCGTAAATCTATTAATCAATTGTAAATGTATCACATAATTCAGCCATTGGCTGCGAGGTGTAACTTGAATTTGAAATAAACCATTATTAAAATACAGCGATGGCTTCACCACATTATACGACATGGCAGGGAAAGAATGAGAAACACAAGGGAAAACAATGCTCAGTTACGCTGATATAACTTTAGTATGAAGTAACATATAACTAAGACAACAACAGGTGGATAGCTATTCCCTACATTATTGGTTAGGATTTTTAATTGCCTTCGACAGAGAAGGCTATAAAATCGTTTTGGTACTGTTTGGCAGATTATGCAAGATAAATTTTGAAGGCATATCCTCCGAGGTTCACGATTTTTGGTAGACAGGTTGTCTTAGGGATGGGCATTGTCAAGGCCAAAAATGGGCTTCGTGGGATGTTTTTACGTGAACGGAGTTGACTTTAAGTGTTTGTGTTTTTCTAATTAACAAGATAACTCAAAGAATCCTTAAATGGTTGTTCATGATTTTTAGCTGGCAAGTTACCGTTGAGAATACGAAGGTCAAGTTCGGAAATGGGCCTCGTGGGAGGTTCCCATGTCATTTAATTTGACCTTTGTGTTGTTCGTTATTGTTGTTAGCAGGATAATTCGAGAATCTGCAAATGGATGTTCACGATTTTTTTGCGAGCAAGTTACCGTCGACGATAGCAAGATCAAGTTCGGAAATGGGCATCGTGGGAGGTCCGTACGTTACTGTAGTGGGCTTTTAGTGATTGTTGTTTAGTTTGTCAGTAGTTCAAGTTGTGAAAAAGCAATGTTTTGTGTGAACAGGCAAGCGAAGTTTAAAAGCTTGCTCTGGTTAATTACTGGTAACTTACAGCGAGGGAGCTGTCAACAGTTGCTTAAGCCGGAAAAATATTTCCCCCTGAAGGGTTGTTTGTACAGCGAGGGAGCTGTCAACAGTAGCTTTAGTTGGAAAACTTTCGCCCCCCCCCTGATGGGTTGTTTGTACAGCGAGGGAGCTGTCAACAGTGGCTTTACATTAATTATGGTTAGAGCATGTAGTTTACTGTGTAACCATATACACCTGAAGGCATTGGACGCTAGGATATTGGGATTTTCGTATACACAACCAGAGATTGTCCTACCTCACTACCTTACCTTGTCTATCATACATCTTCCTCAGAACTTCTGATTGCTTTTCGCCGTTATATGCAACCGATGTAGGTAGCTTAGTTTGTATCTCCCCTCGTCCCGGTTCACCTCAGTGCCAAGTGCGTCGGCTGAAAATAGCGAGAAGCATTACTCCAGGCAGAAACATAGGAATGAGAAGAAAGTGAATGAATAAAAGAAATATTTAAGTCCATACAGTGTATAAACTGATATGTATAGACCCGGTAACCCTGTATAAAACATAGCCTCCCTTCACACTTACATAGTGGTGTGACGTTACCTGCGCCTGATGATGTTATTTCTTATTCCTCAGTATGTGGAGGTGACCTGACGGCTCCTTCTGGAGGCCCTGTGACATCACCCAACTATCCCAGTAACTATGGCGACAATGAAAACTGCGAGTGGACGATCACTGTACCAGAAGGAAGCATCATTCGCCTCACGTTTGATAGTTTCCACACAGAGGACGATTATGACTTTCTCACCATCTACGATGGAGCCAGTGATAATGCTGCAGAGATAGAAAGGTAATCATTATTATTTATTTGTTTCAGACACCCACTGGCCCGCCATAATTAGACATGCACTAGAGGAAAACCTAAATACATACAAAACACACACATAAAAATGAAATCCTATATAAACAGACGTTGCGGAGGTTTGTGAAGTATACGTTGCGATAGAAGGAAACCGACTTTTAAAAAGTACAGACTGAGCACTATTGTTAGAATGAATGAATGAACTTTATTGCTCGACAGTTGTACAATAGACTTATTGTACATGTATTGCTCACATTGTTATTGTTGCCACCATTGTACAGTGAGAAATACAATAAGTCTATTCTAAGCAACTGCTACAGAAAAACATTTGAACTTAAACTTGGTATTGACAAGATATGCGTTACGCGTTTTACAGTACTTTCTCTATTTTGTACGGCACCACATATATGTATGGGGTCGGGGGTATGACTTCAGTACATTACAAATATCCGTGTTTGTCTTTGGGAAAAGTTTACTAGCTTTGCATGTATTCCGTTCATTTTGTTTATCTGTAGTATAGGCAAACAAGTCATTAGAAATAGTATTCATCTTCAACAGTTTCTTGACATGAGGGACATTGTCTCTGGTTACCTGGTATATTATTATAACCACCTTTTTTCCATTTCCAGCTTGTGCGAACTGATTCTTAATTTGGTAATGTTAACTATAAAGGCCTTGTGCCATCTGACAACAAAGGTATCAGTCAGGTTAAAAACAAACATCTCACTGGAACTACAACTTCTAAGCAGATCGGAAAAAACATAAACGA